CCCCCCATCATCAATCAATCAATCTACACACAATACCCCATAATGACAAAGCAAAAACAGGTTTAGAAATTTTGGCAAATTTATACAAAATACAAAACTGAAATCACATTTACGTAAGTATTCAGACTCTTTACTCAGTACTTTGTTGAAGCACCGTTGGCAGCGATTACAGCCTTGTTTCTTCTTGGGTATGATGCTACAAGCTTGGCACACCTGCATTTGGGGAGTTTCTCCCGTTCATCTCTGCAGATCCTCTCATGCTCTGTCAGGTTTTTTCAGGTCTCTCCAGAGATGTTCGATCGGGTTCAAGTCCGGGCTCTGGCTGGGCCACTCAAGGACATTCAGAGACTTGTCCCGAAGCCACTCCTGCGTTGTCTTGGCTGTGTGCTTAGGGTCGTTGTCCTGTTGGAAGGTGAGTCTGAGGTCCTGAACGGTCTGGAGCAGGTTTTCATCAAGGATCTCTGTACTTTGCTCCGTTAATTTTTCCCCTCGATCCTGACTAGTCTCCCAGTCCCTGCCGCTGAAAAACATCCCCACAGCATGATGCTGCCACCACCATGCTTCACCGTAGGGATGGTGCCAGGTTTCCTCCAGACATGACGCTTGGCATTCTGTCCAAAGAGATCAATCTTGGTTTCATCAGACCAGAGAATCTTGTTTCTCATGGTCTGAGAGTCTTTAGGTGCCTTTTGGCAAACTCCAATCAGGCTGTCATGTGTCTTTTACTGAGGAGTGGCTTCCGTCTGGCCACTCTACCATAAAGGCCTGATTGTTGGTGTGCTGCAGAGATGGTTGTCCTTCTGGAAGGTTCTTCCATCTCCAGAGAGGAACTCTGGAGCTCTGTCAGAGTGACCATCAGGTTCTTGGTCACCTTCCTGACCAAGGCCCTTCTCCTTGATTGCTCAGTTTGGCCAGGCGGCCAGCTTTAGGAAGAGTATTGGTGGTTCCAATCTTCTTCCATTTAAGAATGATGGAGGCCACTATGTTCTTGGGGACCTTCAATGCTGTAGAAATTTTTTGGTACCCTTCCCTAGATCTGTGCCTCGACACAATCCTGTCTCGGCGCTCTACAGACAATTCCTTCGACCTCATAGCTTGGTTTCTGCTCTTACATGACATGCACTGTCAACTGTGGGACCTTATATAGACAGGTGTATGCCTTTCCAAATCATGTCCAATCAATTAAATTTACCACAGGCGGACTCCAATCAAGGATGATCAATGGAAACAGGATGCACCTGAGCTCAATTTCGAGTCTCATAGCAAAGGGTCTGAATACTTATGTAAATAAGGCATCTGTTTTTTATTTGTAATACATTTGCAAAAATGTCTAAAAACCTGTTTTGCTGTGTCTCATTAAGGGGTATTGTGTGTAGACTGATCAGGATTTTTATTTATTTTATCCACTTTAAATCTACTTTAAATCTGGACCCTTTCTTTCTATAATTAGCCGCCAAAATTGTCGCAACCCCTATTTCTAGCCTGTTCAACCTCTCTTTCGTAACGTCTGAGATCCCCAGAGATTGGAAAGCTGCCACGGTCATCCCCCTCTTCAAAGGGGGTGACACTCTAGATCCAAACTGTTACAGACCTATATCCATCCTGGCCTGCCTTTCGAAAGTATTTGAAAGCCAAGTTAACAAACAGATCACCGACCATTTCGAATCCCACCGTACCTTCTCCGCTATGCAATCCGGTTTCCGAGCTGGTCATGGGTGCACCTCAGCCACGCTCAAGGTCCTAAACGATATTATAACCGCGATCGATAAAAGACAGTACTGCGCAGCCGTCTTCATCGACCTGGCCAAGGCTTTCGACTCTGTCAACCACCGCATTCTTATTGGCAGACTAAATAGCCTTGGTTTCTCTAATGACTGCCTCACCTGGTTCACCAACTACTTCTCAGATAGAGTTCAATGTGTCAAATCGGAGGGCCTGTTGTCTGGACCTCTGGCCGTCTCTATGGGGGTGCCACAGGGTTCAGTTCTCGGGCCGACTCTATTCTCTGTGTATATCAATGATGTTGCTCTTGCTGCTGGTGAAGCTCGGATCCACCTCTATGCAATCTTGTATACATCTGGCCCTTCATTGGACACTGTGTTAACAAACCTCCAAACGAGCTTCAACGCCATACAACACTCCTTCCGTAGCCTCCAACTGCTCTTAAAACACTAGTAAAACTAAATGCATGCTCTTCAACCGAACGCTGCTTGCACCCGCCCACCCGACTAGAATCACTACTATCTGACCTAGAGTATGTGGACAACTACAAATACCTAGGTGTCTGGTTAGACTGTAAACTCTCCTTCCAGACTCACATTAAGCATCTCCAATCAATAGTTAGATCTAGAATCGGCTTCCTATTTCACAACAAAGCCTCCTTCACTCATGCTGCCAAACATGCCCTCGTAAAACGGACTATCCTACCGATCCTTGACTTCGGCAATGTCATTTACAAAATAGCCTCCAACACTCTACTCAGCAAATTGGATGTAGTCTATCACAGTGCCATCCGTTTTGTCACCAAAGCCCCATATACTACCCACCATTGTGACCTGTACGCTCTTGTTGGCTGGCCCTCACTACATATTCGTCACCAAACCCACTGGCTCCAGGTCATCTATAAATCACTGCTAGGCAAATCCCCGCCTTATCTTAGCTCATTGGTCACCATAGCAACACCCACCCGTAGTATGTGCTCCAGCAGGTATATCTCACTGGTCATCCCCAAAGCCAACACCTCCTTTGGCCGCCATTCCTTCCAATTCTCTGCTGCCAATGACTGGAACGAACTGCAAAAATCTCTGAAGCTGGAGACACTTATCTCCCTCACTAACTTTAAGCATCAGTTGTCAGAGCAGCTTACCGATCACTGCACCTGTACACAGCCATTCTGAAATTAGCCCACCCAACTACCTCATCCGCATATTGTTATTTATTTTGCACCCAAGTATCTCTATCTATCATTCCAGTGTTAATACGAAATTGTAACTATTTTGCACTATGGCCTATTTATTGCCTTACCTCCATAACTTACTACATTCGCACACACTGTATATATATATTTTCTGTTTGTATTTTTAACTTTGTTTTATTTACCCCATATGTAACTCTGTGTTGTTGTTTTTAATCGCACTGCTTTGCTTTATCTTGGCCAGGTCGCAGTTGTAAATGAGAACTTGTTCTCAACTGGCTTACCTGGTTAAATAAAAATAAAAATAAAAAGGCTGTTGCATAACAAAATGTGGAAAAAGTCAAGGGGTCTGAATACTTTCCGAATGCACTGTAAGTCTGGCTGCACAACTGATTGGCAAATGTACTGCAAATTGAGAAATCATGTGACTAAACTGAATAAAAATTAACTTTACTATGAAACAAAGATAAATTATTAAAATAATGAATTTTTTCTTTGGCAAGATTAGCAAACTTAGACATGACATGCCAGCAACAAACACTGACACTACACATCCAGGTATAACTGATCAAATTATGAAAGATAAGCATTGTTGATGTCTATCAACAATGACAAGCCACCGGGATCTGACAACTTGAATGGAAAACTACTGAAGATAATAGCGGACGATATTACCCCATCTTTAATCTAAGCCTACTAGAAAGTGTATGCCCTAAGGCCAGGAGAGAAGCAACAGTAATTCCTCTACCCAAGAATAGTAAACCCCCTTTACTGGCTCAAATAGCCAACCAATCAGCCTGTTACCAAGCCGTAGTAAACTTTTTGGGGGAAAAATTGTGTTTGACCAGATACAATGCTATTTTACAGTAAACAAATTGACAACAGACTTTCAGCACGCTTATAGGGAAGGACATTCAATTTACACAAATAACTGATGATTGGCTGAGAGAAACTGATAAGATTGTGGGAGCTGTTTTGTTAGACTTCACTGCAGCTTTTGACATTAATCGATCATAGTCTGCTGCTGGAAAAACGTATGTGTTATGGCTTTACACCCCCTGCTATATTGTGGATAAAGAGTTACCTGTCTAACAGAACACAGAGGGGGGTTCTTTAATGGAAGCCTCTCCAACATAATCCAGGTAGAATCAGGAATTCCCCAGGGCAGCTGTCTAGGACCCCTTACTTTTTTCAATCTTTACTAATGACATGCCACTGGCTTTGCTTCTACATCTGCATTGCTTGTAAACTGTCATGGTCAAAACATGTTGATACAACAGTAGCTAAGATGGGGAGCGGTCTGCCCATTATAAAGCGATGCTCTGCGTTTTTAACAACACTATCAACAAGGCAGGTCCTACAGGCCCTAGTTTTGTCGCACCTGGACTACTGTTCAGTCGTGTGGCCAGGTGCCACAAAGAGGGACCTCTGAAAATTACAATTGGCTCAGAACAGGGCAGCACGACTGGCCCTTAAATGTACACGGAGAGCTAACAATAATATGTGTGTATGTAAATCTCTCATGGCTCAAAGTGGAGGAGAGATCGACTTCATCACTACTTGTTTTTGTAAGAAGTGTTGACATGCTGAATGCACCGAGGTGTCTGTTTAAACTACTAGCACAAAGCACAGACACCCATGCATACCCCACAAGACATGCTACCAAAGGTCTCTTCACAACCCCAAAGTCAAGAACAGACTATGGGAGGCGCACAGTACTACATAGAGCCATGGCTACATGGAACTCTATTCCACATCAGGTAAATGATGCAAGCAGTAGAATCTGATTTAAAAAAATAAACTGATAAAAATACACCTTATGGAACAGCGGGGACTGTGAGGAAAACACACACACACACACAATAAGACATGCACTCTGCACACAAGTACACATGGATTTGGTGTTGTAGATATGTGATAAGAGTAGTGGCCTGAGGACACACACTTAATGGGTTGTGAAAAGTATTATGAAATGTTATGTCATGTAATATTTTAAATTGTATATAACTGCCTTAATGTTGCTGGACTCCAGGAAGAGTAGATGCTGCCTTGGCAGTAGCTAATGGGGATCCTTAATAAATACAAATAGTCAAATGTAATGTGGTGGTTAAATGAAGTGTTGCTGCCCTCTAGTGCCATTCTGTAGTAGCAATTAGAGCAGAGATGTCTATGATGCTGACAACAATGGTTGTTACTTAAAAAAATTAACATGAGATATTATGCATAGCCATATTGCTGTAGTGAGATTCTGAATGCAGAGACCCATTTCCTGTGTCAATATAGAATTGGAAAAATCCAGTTAATCACCTCAACAATTCAAATCAATGAGTTTCAAATTAACATCACAATTAATGTCCCTATTTGATAAGAGTAGCCAATGGGAGGCTACTTGAACCATGAGAAGAGGCGCCTAGACTGCAATGAGAAAATGTCATAGAAAAATTATCAATTGATGGTAAAAACAGAAAGAGGAAAAACATTTTATAAAATCTTTACACCTAAAAGAGCAATATGGATGTTGCCATTGTTACAAAAATGATTCTCAGAATGTCAAAACAGACACTGCCGAAACTAGCAATGGGGTTTCCTGAAAGAAAAACCTTGCGTCTTTAGACCCCAGCTAACTCATACACAGAAAATACATTCAGTTTAGTACAAAAAATAAACCATTAAAAATAAGTTTGAATGAGAGGTCACCAAACTGTTCCGCTCCAATCTGTGGCACACTTATAGAAAGTAAAGTGTATGAAATCCACAGACTTGTTAAAAAAAAAGAAGTGTTTATGCAAAAGAATCCCTGGATTTTAATTCAAGCTAGTCTTTTCTCACTTTTTGTTTTTCGCCATATTTCGGGGGGAACCTTTCAGCAAGTCTCGGATTCGTAGGTATGTCCCGGTGGCCTCAGCAACCTCTGTGAATTCTGGCGTGTCCTCAAAGGGAATAATGCCCTGTGAAAACCTACTCCGGTGAGGCACGGCCGTTACCTTCCCCACAGAGTCAGACAGATCTCCCTCCATAGCATCCTGATCTGAGGGATCCGACTGACAGCTCTCTTGTTGGGCTGGTATTTGCAGCAAGCTGGGCTTCTGTGCAAGCACATTGCCTCTATCTGTAGCAGCTTCAGGGCTCGGAGGGCTCTCTTCTTCGTCTGGTGATTGCAGTAAGCTTCTCTTGTCTTCGACCACCTTGCCTTTATCTTCAGCATCTTCCTTCCCATCCTGACATTTACTAGAAGATGGCTCAACACTGATCTGCTCATCACTGTTGTGGCTGGCAGCCTCCACAGATCCCTCCTTTTCCTCATAATCTTCAGCCTCACCTTCCTCCATTTCAGTTTCAGTGTCGATGTGGGCGGGTGTGGAGATGCTGGGCGAGCTGGGGAGGGGTGTTCCAACAGCTGGTGTCTCAGAGTCACTGTTGGTGGCGGTGTCAGCATTTTCCAATGCTGCCCAGATCAGCCTCTGCTGCTCCTCCAGCTCTTCCAGTGTCAGCTCTTCCTCCTCCCCACCTACAGACTCCTCACCCCCTCCCACAGTGCGTCCCTGCAGGGCCCGTGAGCCATTAGTGGGCGTGGGTGGAGGTGTTCCCTTAGGAAGAGGGGGGGGAGTGGGAGTGGCTGGCGGAGTACCATGAGGTAAGGGAGGGGGTGAACCAAAGGATGGTGAGCCAGGGGGCAGCGGGGGCTGGAACTGGAAGCTGTCTGAGCTCCGGTGGCGGTGGGGTGTAGTATCCTGGTCTGGAAACAGACACTGACAAGTGTTATGCACTGCCAGAGCAAGGCCATTGCACACATACAACATAAGTGACTCAAAAGTATTTTCCTGTTGTTTTCTGCAGACAGGACAACCAGTCATAATGACAGTGAAAAGTTATGTAAAGCAGAATGTATTAATCTGCTGGTCATCGTTTTCACTTTGTGTTCAGACACCTGGAATTATAACACCTCTACCTGAATCAACGTCCATATCTGAACTCCTGGCATCAGATCTCCTTTTCTTCGACTGCCGGGGAGTTGAGTTGGATTCATGTTGTCTCTTATTGCAGTTGGCACCAGGCTATTGGCAAAATATATTAGTTTATAGTGTGCAAACATAGTGGCAAACAATTGATTAAAAAGTAGAATATTAAACTTACCATTGGAAAATTGTTGGACAGATAGGCAGCAAAATTCTGCTTCATGTGGTTATGCTGCATTGGAATGGAGCGGTTTAGCCTGTAGTCCTAAAAGTAATGGAAAAAATAATGTTGGGTGAAAAGGTTTACAAGTGGTGCAAAGATCTGTGTGCTTTCACCCTAATGATGGCAAGATATCAAACTGCTTTCAAGGAGACTTACATCCTTCACACTAGGAGGTGAAGATATATTGAAGCCTGGGAAATCTACAAGCTTGGAAACATCATAGGAGATTTTTTGTCCATTGTCCTCTGTTGGTTCTTCATCACTTGACACTATATATAGTGAACACAGCAGCGCAATATTAATGAGAATCATGAAAGAGCCGTGCTTCAACCAAAACTGAAAGGCCAATATTTGCTAAAGTGATTAATCTTACCCTTCCCATCGTATAGCGTGAGACCGGAGTTCTCCATCTCTGCCTCCTTAAGCCAGCCAGGTGGGTAGCCTAGCTGCCTCATCCGGTAGATGTGAGGGGGTAGGGTGTTCATATCAACTCCCAGCGCAGACAGCAGCTCCTCACTGCTCAATGAGAGAAAACACAAACCACAATGGGTAAGATATTTGGGATATCAAAAACCTCAGCTCTACAACAATTTCACTTTGGCCATGCAATAACAACTAAAAACAAATTGTTATCTTATTGTGTCAAGGCCATCAGACATTTTCAATGTGCCTTGCCTTATGATTCCAGGTTTGTATTTGGCAAATCGCTCCTCCACTTCCTCAGCATGGTAACGCTGATTGCTCAGGTTGCCCTGGTTACCCTGAGAAAACTCCTTCCGTTTCTCATTGATTCTGGCCATGTCCTTTGGCTAAAGGAGAAAACATGAACAGAGCTGTTGATCACATGTCAAACCTGGGTTTAAGCTCTTCTGTCTGACCATAGTAAGTGAGCAACCTTCCTGTTACATGATGCACATTAAAGTCAAACGTTTTTCAAGGCTTACCTGAGGACAGTCTCGAAGTTGATGACCATCCAACCCACAGTTGAAACAACAAGGCTTAGCTCTGTAGTGTGGGCACAAATGGCACAATAAGATATTGTCATGATGATTTACAGATATTTCTTGCATAAAAAGAAAAATCATATGAATGTCTGCTATACCTTTTCTCTTTCATCTGTACTTCTTGTCCATCTAAGGCGATGACCTGGCTGAAGACCTGCTTATATCTTTGCAACAATTCAGAAACTCAATGAATGACAACTGTAGTTTCAAATTGGGTAACAAAACCGACTCCCACATACATTCATACACACACAATGAACGACAAGGAAGATAATGGTTCAAGGTTCAAAGAGTGGCAACTGTGAGATTCCTCTCCAGTTGATGTTCTCCAACAATCAAAGCTGGACTCTACAATGAAATGTGTCATTGTTGAAAAGGGTTGAAGACGGGAGTGAAGGACAGAGGGCTGTCCACAGAGGGCAGAGAAAGCAGTGTTGAGGATACTTTGGAACCTCCCATCCTTCTGTCTGCTGGGGGTTATCATTTAGCAGGGGCTGTCCAAGTTTGTCCAGACAGAAACTGGTGAAATACAGGACACTTCCCACCATCTGTGAAAAGAGAGAGAAAAATATTATATCCAGACAAACAAATGCAAATGGTGCATTTCACAAAGCATGGTCTGGACACCTAGATTGTCCCCATTCCCAAAAAGAACTCACACTGAAGGCCTCCTTAATCTTTCTGATTCCACAGGAGGTCTTGGTCTTCTGATCTTCTTCCATAATGAAACTTGAAGACTGCATGGGGAAGAAAACAGAGATGTAAAATATTTTAACTGTAATCAATTGTTCCTTCTTTGAAGCTTGAGGACCTTCACCAAATCCGGAAATGTACCTGAGGGTTGACATTGCTGGAGGGATTTCCATTTTCAACTTCTCCCTGCTGCTGATGTTTCTGAACAATACTACAGATGGAGTCTTCGATTTCTTGACGGCATTGCCTGGGAAAATAAGATTAACAGTTCAAATGTTAATACCCAAATTTTCATATAATCAAGTTAGTAAATTTATCCAATTATGATTCTAAGAAACCAAAAAAAAATACCTACTTTGAGATGTTATTGTTTGCGAAAAGGATCTGTAGAAGAGGACCATCAATCTTGATGTTTTCAACATTAATGCCACTGGAAGAAAAACATATGAATGAGGACATTACTGTAGAAATGCCTCTAGTCTAGTGAGTAGCGTATCAATAACTTACCTTGGCCTTGTCAACACTTTCAATTTTCTCTTCAACTCTTGGTGTGGACAATAGGTTAAAGAAAGAGGTACTTATAAAAACAACATAGCTAGACATCAAGCAAGTTAAGTCAGTCTGCTAATGTTAGTTTGGAAAAGGTTATTCAGTCCTAACCCCAAGATATTTATAATTGGATGAATGGAAAGTGATTACTTCTAGCTATGTACATAAAATCTGCAGTGCTTCATTGAAGAGTGTGACCAAATGTAACAGTTTTTGGCTACCATTCACTCCACCAGACTTGGGAGTTACTATGGCTTGACAGATAGCAGGACAAAAACATTACTTTTTGCATGGGTTCTAGCTAGTATGGTATTTAGCTGCAATGACCAAAGGTTTGCAAGGTAGTGAGCTGAAATGCTGTCAAGGGGCACGTCCAATCAATGACATCCAATCAATTTTCTTGATTTCTAGCTAGATCACTAGCTAACGTTAGGCCACAGACCAATAGAGTACCACAGTATGAGTCATAATACCCATAAAACCTAGCGGTCAAACAAGGAAATGGTTCCAATTGTTTTTCTACCATTCATTTTTCCCCCATATGGGATATTAGAAAAACTTAAAATAAAATGTGTTTCGTGTAGGCTTACCATGGCGTGACGTTTTGATAACTGTGTAAATCTCTCTAGGACAAGGGGACATTTATCAATATATTAACCTGTATTTACACCCCAAAAATGAAATGCTTATCAGCTGCTAATGTGGCTATCATGAAAAACTACAAATGCCATGATTTGGACGAGACTGCCGAATCAAGGCAAAGGTAAGAATCTCTGGATTAACTGTTTGCTAAATTTGAATAAATTGAATGAATAAATTGGCTAAATGTCTTTAAATTGACAATTCTGTGAACCGTCTTGTGCAAGCTTTAAATTGACACAATACCTGTTAGCAAAGGTGTCAGCTAGAGATGACGTGCTGGAGTTGCAGGGATTTGTAGTCTTGTATAATGTCTACTTTGATGCTAATTAGCATTTTCGAATCTGAGTAAATAGAGCCGAATATATTGATAAGTCACCTTGTCAAGACATATTTACATGTTTATCAAAACGTCATGCCAGGGTAAGTCTACACGAAACACAGCCCTTATTTTAAGTGTTTCTAAATCCCCTATGGGAAAAATGAATGGTGGAAAAACGATTGGAACCATTTCCCTGTTTGACCGCTAGGTTTTATGGGTATTATCAAATGTCACATGCGCAGAATACAACATGTGTATACAACCTTATCGTGAACTGCTTACTTACAAGCCCTTAACCAACAATGCAGTTCAAGAAAATATTGACTAAATAAACTTAAGTAAAAAATAAAATAAAAAGTAACAAAATTACATAACGAGGCTATTTGACACCTCCACCGTGGGGCTCTATTTAAGAGAGCATTTTAGCCTATCCTCCTAATGGTGCTTTAAAGACAAATAGGAACTCTGCAAAAACGCAGTCAAATCATGACATCAGCTAACTTCAGGTTGAAGCTGTAGAACAGGTTTTGTTTTTTGCCCTAACACTACATAGCTTTCAAGATGCAAAATGTAACTTTTTGGGCAACCCCACCAAATTCACATAGAAATGTGTTACAGATCTGTCATTCATATTGAACGCAAGTCTAAGCGGTAGATCGGTTCTATGAACTACTATGCTTCCCGGTCTTAAGTTTCATTTTTGCGTCTCACTTTTGGTTTTGTACACCAGCTTCAAACAGCTGAAAATACAATATTTTGGGTTATGGGAAATATATTTCATAGCGATTTAGATGGTACAATGATTCTCTATACTGTACTTGCTTGTTTTGTTAAACTCAAATTACAACTATTAGAATTTCTGCTACCAGGAAATGGTGGAGCCATTTCTGCATAGTGCATCTTTAAAATCAATGCTTGATGATTAGTTGGTTATCTGAATCAGCTGTGTAGTACTAGTGCAAAAACTAAAATGTGCACTCGGGGGGCCCCAAGACAGAGTTTGGGAAACGCTGCTCTAGAAAGACGCCCAAGTTCCCGACTTGAAATTCTGAGTTGGATGACCGTTCAAAACGATTTCAGTTGGCGCTCGTTTTTTTTTTCTATCGAGTTCCCAGTTGTCTTTAACGAGGCATTACCTTTTTCTTAACCTAATTCTCCTAACCTGTTGCGTACAATCTAGCTAACCTGCGTCGAAGTCACTTCTGGTCGTAGCTGTTCTAATCACAACCCATGACGGTGCCTAGCTAGCGAGCACCTGCTAGTGCTAGCTTCTCACACACACACACAAGGATATTCTCTTCTATCAAACTCCGTACTGTCTCCTCACACTCCCCCAATCTTCCCTTGAGCTCAGAGCATTCTTCTCCATCCTCCTCTTCCTCCGTGAACCGAACGTGAGTAGCAGCAGGAATATTCTCTCCCAATTGTTCAAAGAGCTCACTGTCACCAAAATCTACCTCCGCCATCTTCGCTCTGTTGCGTAACGTACTCCCGCAAGAGCGTTGATTGGTTGTTTTATGTCACATGTTCAGGACGTTTCCTTCTTTCGCCAACATTTCTCTGTTGTCGTCATCAACATCCAACGCATGAGAGGACCTGCATAATAAATATTACATTGTTGTTCAATTGCTGTAACTAACTTTCTGGTTTATAATGTCAACATACACAACTATCCAGTTACCGCTTTGGGATGGTGGCAAGCTGAAAATTCGCTTTATATACTTGTCAAATAGAAGCTCTTTCAAAGTAACGAGCTGTCCTGTCGAGGTGAGTTGCATGGCTGCATAACGTTAGCTAGCGAGCGAAGAGGCTGCATCAGCTATCTCTCAGTACATTTTAAAATTGAGACTTCAGGCCGTATTATTTTTGCTCTTCTTTAGGGACCAATGGTTCCTCTCTTTTTAGGGGCTGATCTCTTCTCAAACACTGATATCCGCACAGAGAACCATCCCAGATATCATGCAAAGTTTGCAAAGAAAGGATTGGCAACTAAACTACATTTCTCCTCAGGTAAGTTTTGATCCCCAGATACAGAACATCATAAAGCAAGTTGCATGGTTTATGGATATCATATCTTGTTTGCAATCCACAGCATTTAGAGTCCATGGCCTGAGGGTACCCACTGCCAACAATTGCCTGTGGTTCTACAGCATCCAAGGTGTTTTTCGAGTGGCCTTTGAAATGTATAGTAAACAAGAGCAGCTTTCTGTGTTGGAGAACTTTCAGGTAACATTTCAGACTCCTAGTTATACAACAAATCCACCCATAGAGGCTACAACCTACAATTGCAATGTCATCCAGTTAAAAGGGGCCAATTTTATTTAACCTGATGAATACTTGAAGTAGGCCAACAATGTACTGATACTTAATGGTCACTCATACTCTAGGAGGTATGGAAGTCCCGCCTAAATGACATCCCACTAAAGATGAACTACAACCTGAGTGTTCAGCTGGATCCTCCGCCACCCCAGATCGTTGTGGAGATGTACGACCAAGACCTAAAGCTCAAACTGATGTCCCGGAATCCCCAAGGTTACCCATCTCAATCTGTGGAAATTCCTGAGGCTGACACAGGCCCTTCAGGTGACACTTCAGCAGACCATGATTACTGCTTTCTGCCAAATGAGAGTATGCCAGCACAGCCAGTCCATCTATGTCCCTCCATCTTAAGTCAAAAACTGCAGGGCTTGGAGGCAAAGCTGAGCTCTGAGAAACAGCTGGGGACCGACCAGCAGGAGACCATCCTGCTTCTGTTGGAGAGCATTGAGCGCTGTGTGAGCAGGCCACTGGAGGAGGGGGATGTGGCAGACACTGTACTAGCTCTGCTAGAGGCTCGGAAATGGGGCTCTGTGTACTCCAGCCACCTGCTTCACTCCATAGGCTGCTGGCTTGGCCAGCAGTTCCATGCAGCCAACAGTAGTATCAGCCAGCAGGTAGAGTGCTTCAAGGTGCGGCACATAGAGCGAATCACAGATCTGCCACCTGCAGAGGAACTAGCCTCAGAGCTTTTTCCAGAGGCAATGCGAACACTGCTGCTCCACTGGATGGGTCTGAGTGATGACTCAACCCTGTGGAAGAGACAGAGCGAGTACCCTATCCTGCTCCTAATCCTGGAGTTTGCCAACCACAACCTCATCACTGGTGTTGCACATGTGCTTTACTCAAGTCTTAAGGTGAATTTAGATCTAGCTGACTCAAAAGAGTTAAGTACTGTAGAAAGTAAAACTACTGTTGTAAAAAACTACTCAAGTAAAAGTAAAAAGTAGTTCATTTAAAAAGTACTCTGAGTAAAAATAAGTTACTTTTAAAATAAAAACATAGAACTAATTTGATAATTAGGTATTTTCTCTACCTGAATGTTGTTACCATAGAGATCATGTTGAATTTCTATTATTAGTATTCTAATTCCTAATTTGTTACACTTTATCTTTTCCATGCAATAACTTTAAAAGGATGAGGGGAATTGAATGTACAGTTGGAACTACTGTATGTTCAACAGATCTGTAAACCTCAGAGGGTCGTCACTAGTTAACACAGCCACAAAGTCATAAACCCCGCCTATTTCTCGATTTAAAATCACATTTTAAACCTATCCCAAACCACACTGCTAACCTTATGCCTAACTTTAAATGAAGACCAAAAAGCACATTTTTGTTTTCATTAATTTTTACAATATAGCCAGTGGTGTACACTTTCAAAAATAAAAGGTTCCTGGAGATATCTTTAGGGCTTCTTCAACTTGAAACTGTGGGGGAACCCCTATACTTTCTTTGAATAACCCTTTTTAATGGCTCCTCTAACAACCTTTAGAAGAACCTTTTGGGGTAAAAAATGTTTAACTACCCCCTCCCCTATTATTATTTATATTAATACGCATAACAATAGCACAATATTTTAGTTGTCAGTGTTTATTATGATTTTAGTGGCAAAGCAGAATAAAAATCTAAATATGAGATACTCCCAGCAGAGCCCCAAGTCCAATGGGTATATCCTCTGGCGTGTTGATGTTAATGTGTTGATGTTCTCCAAATCTATAGCCAGAATGATTTTTGCAGTGCATGGTGATCGAACAGGTTTCCTGTTATATACATCAGAGGTGTAGGGCGGGTGAAGTCTGTGAATCCAAAAAATAGTAATTATACCGATGTTTAACAAAACATGCACAAGACAGTATTCATACCTTGGTTTTTGTGGTGAATGTGAATGAAAAAAAAAAAAACGGTTTTGATAATATTTTTCATACACATACCTTGTCCATAATGTAGAGGCCTATGGGATTTTCATTGAAGAGGTAAGGGAGGAAGATTGTACATGTGATCTGCATAACATACCAATACCAATTGACATACCTTTGCATGGCTCCTCCTCTGTATACCTGCAGACACAGACACAAAAGTGAGCAGTTCAGTCATCTGCACCCAATACAGCTAGCCTTCAACATATTCTTATAGCCTACATGTTCTTACCTCTTTGTTGATTGATATCCATTGAATTGTGCCCATTTTCTGTTTTAGAAAGATTTGCACAAATATGAAAAGGTAGATGGTTTCATCATAAAACAATATCAATTTAGATCATATAAGGGACAAACCTTACCTTAAATTGAGGAGATCTTTAAATTTTTCAGTTCAGTGCCTGCACCTGCTGTCCTTTCAAATTCAAATCCAAATGTTTCAGTTGGGCAGTTAGGTTCTTGCAAGAACCCCCACCAACTAAGGAGGTTCCTCGATTAACCCCACCTCCTATGGAGTTCTTGGAATAACCTTTTGGGGGCAATTTTCAGTGCCAAGAACCCTAAGGTTCTTTGAAGAACTTTGAGGATCTTAGAAGAACCTTTGTTGAACCCCTAATTTTTAGAGTAGTGCGATCTTTGTTTTTTTAGGTGATGGACCACAACAACAAAAATTTAAATGACGTCATAATTTCCTCTTACCGACAGATGTAGCCAATTGAATAGCCTATAATTATAGAATATGCATAAAATCTATCATCCAATTGCAACGTCTGCCTATACCCACATAAATTGTCTAAATATATATATATATATATATATATATATATATATATATATATATATACAGTCATGGCCAAAATTGTTGGCACCCCTGAAATTTTTCCAGAAAATGAAGTATTTCTCACAGAAAAGTATTGAAATTACACATGTTTTGCTATGCACATGTTTATTTCCTTTGTGTGTATTGGAATAACACAAAAAAAAACAGGAAAAAAAGCAAATTTGACATAATTTCACACAAAACTAAAAAAATGGGCCGGACAAAGTTATTGGCACCCTTTCAAAATTGTGGATAAATAAGTTTGTTCCAAGCATGTGATGCTCCTTTAAACTCACCTGGGGCAAGTAACAGGTGTGGGGCAATCTAAAAATCACACCTGAAAGCAGATAAAAAGGAGAGAAGTTGACTCAGTCTTTGCATTGTGTTTCTGTGTGTGCCACACTAAGCATGGAGAACAGAAAGAGGAAAAGAGAACTGTCTGAGGACTTGAGAACCAAAATTGTGGAAAAATATCAACAATCTCAAGGTTACAAGTCCATCTCCAGAGATCTAGATGTTCCTTTGTCCACAGTGCGCAACATGATCAAGAAGTTTGCAACCCATGGCACTGTAGCTAATCTCCCTGGACGTGGACGGAAGAGAAAAATTGATGAAAGGTTGCAACGCAGGATAGTCCGGATGGTGGATAAGCAGCCCCAAACAAGTTCCAAAGAAATTCAAGCTGTCCTGCAGGCTCAGGGTGCATCAGTGTCAGCGCGAACTATACGTCGAAATTTGAATGAAATGAAACGCTATGGCAGGAGACCCAGGAGGACCCCACTGCTGACACAGAGACATAAAAAAGCAAGACTACAGTTTGCCAAAATGTACATGAGTAAGCCAAATTCCTTCTGGGAGAACGTCTTATGGACAGATGAGACCAAGATAGAGCTTTTTGGTAAAGCACATCGTTCTACTGTTTACCGAAAATGTAATGAAGCCTTCAAAGAAAAGAACACAGTACCTACAGTCAAATATGGTGGAGGTTCAAAGATGTTTTGGGGTTGTTTTGCTGCCTCTGGCACTGGGTGCCTTGACTGTGTGCAAGGCATCATGAAATCTGAGGATTACCAAAGGATTTTGGGTCGCAATGTAGGGCCCAGTGTCAGAAAGCTGGGTTTGCGTCCGAGATCATGGGTCTTCCAGCAGGACAATGACCCCAAACATACTTCAAAAAGCACCCAGAAATGGATGGCAACAAAGCGCTGGAGAGTTCTGAAGTGGCCAGCAATGAGTCCAGATCTTAATCCCATTGAACACCTGTGGAGAGATCTTAAAATTGCTGTTGGGAAAAGGCACCCATCCAATATGAGAGACCTGGAGCAGTTTGCAAAAGAAGAGTGGTCCAAAATTCCGGGTGAGAGGTGTAAGAAGCTTATTGATGGTTATAGGAAGCGACTGATTTCAGTTATTTTTTCCAAAGGGTGTGCAACTAAATATTAAGTTAAGGGTGCCAATCATTTTGTCCGGCCCATTTTTTGAGTTTTTTTTAATACCCTCAAACACCAAGGTAGGCATAGGCTACCTAATTTCAAAATAGGCCATCACTGTTAATCGGGAATGAAAATTCTTAATGTTTTACCGGTTAAACGTCCAAACTGCATCTCCAAGCCAATCATTTGATTGATCTCAATTAGTTTAATGGGAATATGCATTTAGATCTTCTTGAATTACTGTTTCGTGAGCGAATTGGAGCAGATGGCGTTAACAAACTATTAGCCTTTTTTGTATTTTGTTTAAATCAAAGCATATATCCTGCCTAGTGGCTCTGTTGAGTTTTGGCGCATGAGGGAAAAAAAGACTATTCAGCTTCAGCTAACCAGCCTAAAATCTTGTTCGAAATGAGGTGTTGTTTTTGGTGTAACGTTATAGGCCTTACTATGCTATGGTATTATAAGTCGGTTCTGTTATGTAAAATGCAAATTATCATTGTGATCTTGCAAGACATTGATTCAGCTTTGATCTAACTTTACTAAACGAGCACCATTGTGAGAAGTGATCTTCTATTTGTAATAATAATGGCAAAATGGTTTTGTTAGTCTAATGCTATGTAAATGCTTGAGTTGAATAGTACTTTTCCCTGCAATTGCTTGAATAAACTCTTATTGCTGATAAATGAGTTCTGCCTGATTCCTGGAACAAGTTTTATTTCAACATATTTGTTAGTGAAACCAAAGTGCTGTAACATATATAAATTAAATCAAATAGCCTAGTACACACACACAAATCAAAAGACTATTGCACAGAAAAACGTGGGACAGTCTGGTTCATCGTAAATTCAGAACTGCTGGACAGTAACATAAAAAACTAAAGCACTGATCATTGGGAACGAGATCAGAATGACTGCTAAGGCTTGATCCATAAGTTAAATAATTACAGTGGGGGGAAAAAAGTATTTAGTCAGCCACCAATTGTGCAAGTTCTCCCACTTAAGATGAGAGGCCTGTAATTTTCATTATAGGTACACGTCAACTATGACAGACAAAATGAGGGAAAAAAATCCAGAAAATCACATTGTAGGATTTTTTAATGAATTTGTTTGCAAATTATGGTGGAAAATAAGTATTTGGTCAATAACAAAAGTTTCTCAATACTTTGTTATATACCCTTTGTTGGCAATGACACAGGTCAAACGTTTTCTGTAAGTCTTCACAAGGTTTTCACACACTGTTGCTGGTATTTTGGCCCATTCCTCCATGCAGATCTCCTCTAGAGCAGTGATGTTTTGGGGCTGTCGCTGGGCAACACGGACTTTCAACTCCCTCCAAAGATTTTCTATTGGGTTCAGGTCTGGAGACTGGCTAGGCCACTCCAGGACCTTGAGATGCTTCTTACGGAGCCACTCCTTAGTTTCCCTGGCTGTGTGTTTCGGGTCGTTGTCATGCTGGAAGACCCAGCCACGACCCATCTTCAATGCTCTTACTGAGGGAAGGAGGTTCTTGGCCAAGATCTCGCGATACATGGCCCCATCCATCCTCCCCTCAATACGGTGCAGTCATCCTGTCCCCTTTGCAGAAAAGCATCCCCAAAGAATGATGTTTCCACCTCCATGCTTCACAGTTGGGATGGTGTTCTTGGGGTTGTACTCATCCTTCTTCTTCCTCCAAACACGGCGAGTGGAGTTTAGACCAAAAAGCTCTATTTTTGTCTCATCAGACCACATGACCTTCTCCCATTCCTCCTCTGGATCATCCAGATGGTCATTGGCAAACTTCAGACGGGCCTGGACATGCGCTGGCTTAAGCAAAGGGAACTTGCGTGCGCTGCAGGATTTTAATCCATGACGGCGTAGTGTGTTACTAATGGTTTTCTTTGAGACTGTGGTCCCAGCTCTCTTCAGGTCATTGACCAGGTCCTGCCGTGTAGTTCTGGGCTGATCCCTCACCTTCCTCATGATCATTGATGCCCCACGAGGTGAGATCTTGCATGGAGCCCCAGACCGAGAGTGATTGACCGTCATCTTGAACTTCTTCCATTTTCTAATAATTGCGCCAACAGTTGTTGCCTTCTCACCAAGCTGCTTGCCTATTGTCCTGTAGCCCATCCCAGCCATGTGCAGGTCTACAATTTTATCCCTGATGTCCTTACACAGCTCTCTGGTCTTGGCCATTGTGGAGAGGTTGGAGTCTGATTGATTGAGTGTGTGAACAGGTGTCTTTTATACAGGTAACGAGTTCAAACAGGTGCAGTTAATACAGGTAATGAGTGGAGAACAGGAGGGCTTCTTAAAGAAAAACTAACAGGTCTGTGAGAGCCGGAATTCTTACTGGTTAGTAGGTGATCAAATACTTATGTCATGCAATAAAATGCAAATGAATTACTTAAAAATCATACAATGTGATTTTCTGGATTTTTACAAAATGGCCAAGACAAATTGATATTATTATATTATTATTATTATTATTATTATTATATTATTACAAAGTTTAGTGTACTAGAGGATATTTGTGTACTGCAGGATCAAAGTAAGGGACATGTTTCATCCGCTGGGACACATCAGGCCAATGCTACTCTCAATGCAGAAATTCAGTCACAGTTAAGGAGGGAAATTGCAGCGCTAAGGAAACTACCAGTAACCTACAGACAGCCTTAGATAAAAACGTATTCATTAAGTGCAAATGTCCATAGGATAATTTGATGAGATACAGCATTCCGCTACAGTCATTCCGTTACCCAAGAATAGTAAAGCACCCTTTACTGGCTCAAATAGCTGACCAATCAGCCTGTTACCAACCCTTAGTAAACTTTTGGAAAAAATGGTGTTTGACCAGATACAATGCTATTTTACAGTAAACAAATGAACAACAGACTTTCAACATGCTTATAGGGAAGGGCATTCAACATGCACGGCACTAACACAAATGACGGATGATTGGCTGAGAGAAATTGATAATAAAAAGATTGGGAGCTGTTTTGTTAGACTTCAGTGCAGGTTTTGACATGATCGATTATACTGTAGTATGCTGCTGGAAAAACATTACTGTTTGTTATGGCTTTACACCCCCTGCTATATTGTGGATTGAGAGTTACATGTCTAACAGAACACAGAGTGTTTTCTTTAATGGTAGCCTCTCCAACATAATCCAGGTAGAATCAGGCATTTCCCAGGGCAGCTGTCTAGGCCCCTTACTTTTTTCAATCTTAACTAATGACCTGCCACTGGCTCTGCGTAAAGCCTGTGTGTCTATGTATGCGGATGACACAACACTATACACATAAGCTACTACAGCGAGTGAAATCACTGCAACACTTAACAATAAGCCACAGTCAGTTTCAGAATGGGTGGCAAGAAATAAATTAGTCCTAAATATTTCAAAAACTAAAAGCATTGTATTTGGGACAAATCATTCAGTAAACCCTAAACCTTCACTAAATCTTGTAATGTATAATGTGGAAATTGAGCAAGTTGAGGAGACTAAACTGCTTGGAGTAACCCTGGATCGTAAACTGTTATGGTCAAAACATATTGATGCAACAGTAGCTAAAATGGGGAGAGGTCTGTCCATAATAAAGTTCTGCCTTCTTAATGACAATAACAAGGCACAAAGAGGGACTTAGGGAAATTACAACTGGCCCAGAACAGGGCATCATGGCTGGCTCTGAAATGTACACATACAGCTAACATTAATAATATGCATGTCAATCTCTCATGGCTTAAAGTAGAGGAGAGATTGACTTCATCACTACTTGTTTTTGTAAGAAGTATTGACATGTTGAATGCACCGAGGTGTCTGTTTTAAACTATTAGCGCACCGCTCTGACACCCATCCATACCCTACCCCACAATACATGCCACCAGAGGTCTCTTCACAGTCCCCAAGTCCAGAACAGACAATGGGAGGCGCACAGTACTACATAGAGCCATGGCTACATGGAACTCTATTCCACATCAAGTAACTCACGCAAGCAGTAAAATCAGATTTAAAAAAACAGAAAAATACACCTTATGGAACAGCGAGGACTGTGAAGAGTCACTCACACAGGTACAAAACACACACATATAAACACACATAACATACACACTATACACACATGTACACCTGGAATGTGTGTTGTAGTGGCCGGAGGGCACACACTTAATGTGTTGTACATTTTGTTGTAAAATGTATTTTAATGTTTAAAATTTGGATTATAATGTATATTACTGCCTTAATTTTAGCTGGATCCAAGAAGAGTAGCTGCTGCCTTGGACAGAACACACTTTTTGGGAAAAACCAACACTACTTCCTGTAACACATAAGACCAATGGGATACTCTTTCTTATCGTACTATGAGATTCCTGGTAGCCCAAGTTAATCAAACCACCACTTTCCTTACACATATACCTGTACAACCACACTTTCCTTACACACCTATACAACTGCTCAACTCTACATGGTCAGATCAGCTGGTCACTGATGGTTATTCATTGTGGTGGGTCAATGTAGCACCACTTGCATTGTCTTATAGAGGAGAGTGACTCATCAGGGTGAGCTTTGTGAAGCCAAGCTGTGCCTGACTGCATACTCAGACAGCTTACCACTGACTTATAACTCACCTTCCCACCTCTCTCTACGTTGGTCTCGGTCTCCCTTCCATCTTTGTCCATTACTGCTTCTCCCTCTCCTTATGTCTGTCACTTTCTCTCTGACCCATTGAACAAGCTCAGTTGAGAAGCTGAATTTACAACTAATCATTCTCAATTTTTTCTCGCTCCACAGCTAAAACCACTAAAACATCTAAAATGAGGAAACAGAACAGCAAACTTGGTGGCCCAGAGATGATGCAGGACCTGCTGGAGACCACAAACTTCACCAAGCATGAAATCCAGGAGTGGTATAATGGCTTCCTGTGGGGCTGCCCCAGCAGAGCCATCTCCATGGATGAGTTCAAGAAGATCTACGGAACTTTATTCCCCTACGGAGACACCTCCAAGTTCTTGGAGTACGTCTTCCACACCTTAGACACCAACAGGCATGGGACCATAGACTTCAGGGAGTTCATCATCGCTCTGACTGAGCGTCAACGTCTCGCGGGCAGCTGGACCAGCAGCTCAAGTGGGCCTTCAGCATGTACAACCTGGACAGGAATGGATACATCAGCAAGGCAGAGATATTGGAGGTTGTGCAGGTGTGTTTATCTGTCTCTGTCTCGCTGTCTTTTTGTCTCTTTATGTCTGTCTATTCTTGTGTGTATTCAAATGAGCTATGAATCCCACTGTCTCTCACACAGCTGTTAGTTAATACAGGAAGCTTATAAACTGGAGGGTCAAAGTCATCTGGCCCTTAAATAAATCACCCATCAGCCTTTTAGTGAGCTGAGGACCATAAACGCTGCCTGGTCCCACTGTTTCCTCTAGCTGAGCACCATAATGGCTGCCTTATCTCACAGTTTCCCCTTGCTGTCAGATTGTATCCCAAATGGCACCCTATTCCCTATATAGTGCACTACATTGGGTCCTGGTCAAAACTAGTGCACTATAAAGGGAATAGTGTGTCATTTGGGCAGCACCCACATAGCGTTCCCTGTTGCTGCTGCTTCAGTCCCACAGGGAGACAGGCGGTCACCAGCAGTTGGAAACGGCCGGCTGCTCCACTGCTCCATGCTGACTAAAGCACTTTAACAACTTGTAGATGTTTACATTACAACAGCAGCACACAGACCTGCAGTAATTGGTGTCTCTGAGACTGGTTTGGGAAGCTGGTGAACGGGCCACAGCAGTGTTGTTCGATGCCTCTGTCATCAGTAGGCATAGTCACTCAATATCAATGAATGTCACTTACTATCACGTAATCTACTAACTACTAAAACTACTGTCGCGTAATCTACTATCTACTAACAATGACTACTATCACGTAATATCCATTAGTCCTATAAAGTCAACTATGAGTGAGAGACAGACAGAGGTATACAGTGACTCCTATCCTCTCACTAACTCAGAGGGACGCTGTATTGGACTGGGCATTTCTCCTAGAAAAAGAGGACTGAGTGTAATCAGACAGAGCTGCCCAGAGAGCGTTGTGTTTACCCAATTATTTTTCTTACTACTACATCACTGATATCAATAGGTTATAAAAGATAATGTGGATATTGGTTTCTCATACCCCCTCTCTCTATCTCTGTCTCCAGGCAATCTACAAGATCGGTTCCTCTGTGATGAAGATGCCAAAGGATGAGTCCACACCTGAGAAATCAACAAACATGATCTTCAGAAAGATGGACACAAACTGTGATGGTGAGCACCTAGCTACCACCCATACTTCCCTGTCTTCAGTCTCTGGCTTAAATCAATTAATCTATTTCAATTCACTTTTTTAACTGATTTAAAAACTGAATTCAGCCCAATCCTCCATCAGCCCTTATCCACTACCTCCCTGTTTCCATCCTACTGTCTGTCTGTCCACCAATTACCAACAACTGTCACCAACTGCCTCTAACGGTCTTTGTAATTCTTGTGTTCTTCAGGTAAAGTGTCTCTGGAGGAGTTTGTTGAGGGAGTGAAGAACCACCCATCCATCTCGCGACTACTTGCGGCTCCTTTATTCTACTAGTAGTGACTTACTGTCCACACCAGATCAAGACCATTCAAGATCACCATGGACCCAAGCAGAGGAGTTGAGTACCGAGCGAGGCAGAGGCACACGCATGGACTACCACATACTGTACCCATATACAGTGGGGAGAACAAGTATTTGATACACTGCTGATTTTGCAGGTTTTCCTACTTACAAAGCATGTAGAGGTCTGTAATTTTTATCATAGGTACACTTCAACTGTGAGAGGCGGAATCTAAACTAAAAATCCAGAAAATCACATTGTATGATTTTTAACTAATTAATTTGCATTTTATTGCATGACATAAGTATTTGATCACCTACAAACCAGTAAGAATTCCGGCTCTCACAGACCTGTTAGTTTTTCTTTAAGAAGCCCTCCTGTATCACAACCGGCCGTGATTGGGAGTCCCATAGGGCGGCGCACAACCCGGCCCAGTGTCGTATGGGTTTGGCCGGTGTAGGCCGTCATTGTAAATAAGAATTTGTTCTTAACTGACTTGCCTAGTTAAATAAAGGTTAAAAATAAAAAAATTGTGACCAGATTTCTCGATCCCTCCATGTATGCAAATTATTTAAAAAATATTCTTTTAAAAATAATATACACAGGGTTTTTTGGGGGGGGGTTTGTATGATTTCATTTACACAACATGCCTACCACTTTGAAGATGCAAAAAATATATATTCTGAAACAAACAAGAAATAAGACAAAACAGAAAACTTGAGCGTGCATAACTATTCACTCCCCCAAAGTCAATACTTTGTAGAACCACCTTTTGCAGAAATTACAGCTGGGGTATGTCTCTTGGGGTATGTCTCTATTAGCTTGGCACATCTAGCCACTGGGATTTTTGCCCATTCTTCAAGGCAAATCTGCTCCAACTCCTTCAAATTGGATGGGATCCGCTGGTGTACAGCAATCTTTAAGTCATACCACAGATTCTCAATTGGATTGAGGTCGGAGCTTTGACTAGGCCATTCCAAGACATTTAAATGTTTACCCTTAAACCACTCAAGTGTTGCTTTAGCAGTATGCTTAGGGTCATTGTCCTGCTGGAAGGTGAACCTCCGTCCCAGTCTCAAATCTCTAGAAGACTGAAACAGGTTTCCCTCAAGAATTTCCCTGTATTTAGCGCCATCTATCATTCTTTCAATTCTGACCAGTTTCCCAGTCCCTGCCGATGAAAACATCCCCACAGCATGATGCTGCCACCACCATGCTTCACTGCAGGGATGGTGTTCTTGGGGTGATGAGAGGTGTTGGGTTGGCGCCAGACATAGTGTTTTCCTTGATGGCCAAAAAGCTCAATTGTTGTCTCATCTGACCTGAGTACCACCTTTCATATGTTTGGGGAGTCTCCCACATGCCTTTTGGCGAACACCAAATGTGTTTGCTTCTTTTTTTCTTTAAGCAATGGCTTTTTTCTGGCCACTCTTCCGTAAAGCCCAGCTCTGTGGAGTGTACGGCTTAAAGTGGTCCTATGGACAGATACTCCAATCTCCGCTCTGGAGCTTTGCAGCTCCTTCAGGGTTAGTCTCTTTGTTGCCTCTCTGATTAATGCCCTCCTTGCCTGGTCTGTGAGTTTTGGTGGGCGGCCCTCTCTTGGCAGGTTTGTTGTGGTGCCATATTCTTTCCATTTTGTAATAATGGATTTAATGGTGCTCCGTGGGATGTTAAAAGTTTCTGATATTTTTTTATAACCCAACCCTGATCTGTATTTCTCCGCGACTTTGTCCCTGACCTGTTTGGAGAGCTCCTTGGTATTCATGGTGCCGCTTGCATGGTGGTGCCCCTTGCTTAGTGGTGTTGCAGACTCTGGGGCCTTTCAGAACAGGTGTGTATATATACTGAGATCATGTGACACTTAGATTGTACACAGGTGGACTTTATTTAACTAATTATGTGACTTCTGAAGTTAATTGGTTGCACCAGATCTTATTTAGGGGCTTCATAGCAAAGGGGGTGAATATATACGCACGCACCACTTTTCCGTTATTTATTCTTTCGAATTTTTTGAAACAAGTTCTTTTTTTCATTTCACTTCACCAATTTGGACTATTTTGTGTATGTCCATTACATGAAATCCAGATAAAAATCCATTTAAATTACAGGTTGTAATGCAACAAAATAGGAAAAACGCCAAAGGGGATGAATACTTTTGCAAGGCACTGTATTTATAAAAATAAATAATACAAATACTGAGCTAGCTATATTGTATGCAAAAAAAAAAGGGAAATTATACAATTATACAATTCCTCAGAGAAATATTTTATTTAACAAGTTATATATTTTTCGCTCAAAAAAGATGGGTGACAAAATTATTTGCACCTCTGTTTTCAATACTTTGTGCACCCTCCTTTTTCTAGGATAACGGCACTGAGCCTATTTCTATAATGTTAAATGAGATTGGAGACCACATTGGGAGGGATCTTTTTTTTAATTATTAACTTTTTACCCCTTTTTCTCCCCAATTTCGTGACATCCAATTGGTAGTTACAGTCTTGTCCCATCGCTGCAACTCCCGTACAGACTTGGGAAAGGCGAAGGTCGAGAGCCATGCATCCTTCGAAATATGAACCTGCCAAGCCGCACTGCTTCTTGACACACTGCTCGCTTAACCCGCCACAAGGAGTCGCTAGAGCGCGATGGGACAAGGACATCCCGGCCAGCCAAACCCTCCCTAACCCGGACGACGCTGGGCCAATTGTGCTCCACCTCATGGGTCTCCTGGTCGCGACACAGCCTGTTATCAAACCCGGGTCTGTAGTGACACCTCAAGCACTGCGATGCAGTGTCATAGACCGCTGTGGCACTTGGGAGGCAATTGGGAGGGAGCTTAGACCATTCCTCAATACAGAATCTTTCCAGATCCTTGATATCCTTTGGTCTGCACTTATAGACTGCCCTCTTCAAACCACAGTTTTTCAATGTGGTTCATGTCCGGAGACTAAGATGGCCATTGCAAAATGTTGATTTTGTTGTCAATTAACAATTTATTTGGATTTTGATGTGTGCTTGGGGTCATTGTCTTGCTGGAAGATCCACTTGCGGCCAAGTTTCAGCCTCCTGGCAGAAGAAACCAGGTTTTTGGCTAAAATGTCCTGGTACTTGGCAGAGTTCATGATGCCGTTGACCTTAGCAAGGGCTCCAGAATCAGTGGAAGCAAAACAGCCCCATAACATCAAAGATTCACCACCATATTGTACAGCAGGTATGAGGTTATTTTCTGCAAATGCATCCATCTTTCGACGCAAATCCACCACTGGTTTGCGTGGCCAAAGACTTCTATTTTCATCTCATCTGACCATAGCACCCACTTCCAATCCAAGTGCCATTGCCATTTAGCAGACTCCAGGGGTTTACATTTGTTGGGTAACCCTTCCAAAGAGCCTATTGGCGTCTAATTGTAGATTTGAAGACTTGGTGACCCCAAGATGATACCCAGTTTTGTAATTTTCAAACTGTGGCCCTTGGATTTTCCTTTGCCTCCTGAACCATCTTCCTCACTGTGCGTGGGGACAAGATACACATCCGTCCTTTTCCAGTAAGTTTACCACTTCATGATTTTAAACTTCTTGATTATTGCACCTAAATAGTGGTAAAAGGTATATTCATTTATTTTATTTGTTTGTACCCAATGCCATTTTGGGATTTATGAAGGTAAACAACCATTCGTCTCTTTTTGTTTGTGAGTTCTTTAACTTTCCCCATGGTTAGTGCTATCCGGGATCCTTGGGACATCCCTTCCCTTAACCTTAACCTTAACTATTTTCAATTTCAACGTCAATGGGGTGACATCAGAGTTGGACGTCCCAAGGACCCGTTTGGTAAGGACTCTTTCCCCATGGATGACCAATGGTTTTTACATGCGTGTTACCTCATTTTTATATCCCAGTGAAACAGGAAGCGAAGGAAGGCCACAATACAGTTCGGTAAACTGAGATTAACTTAAAAAAGTAGAATGTTAATGCAGATTTAATTTTGTTTGATTTAATTTATTAGAATCTTTAGGGGCGACACAAATTTTGACACCAATCTTTTTTAGATTTTTTTTGTATTTCTTGTTAAATAAAAACTATTTCTCTGAGCAATTGTTGAAAATTGTATTATCTTACATGTTTAAGCATTCAATATAGCTCAGTATTTGTATTATTTATTTTATACTGTACTTTTTTGCTAATCTTTATCAAGGGTGCCAATAATTTGAGTTGACTATTTATTTATTTTATGACACATTGATGCCATATGCAGATGGTGCCACATGTCAATGATTTTAGAGGGCGGGATAAGGATGACTTAAATCATTTCACTGTGCATATCCGTCTACGCTTTTCAGGTATTGTTACGAAACCAATAACTAGCCTACTGATTTTGCTGCACTCGTTATATCTAGGGGTCTTAGGCCTAGCTACATAGTCTGTAATCTGATTTGATGTGTGCATAAATGTGAGAAGTAAGCATATGCGACCAAGTGTTGAATGTACAGCCACCTTACCTTAGGTCCAGCTCAGTCATGACTCCCATGGTTGGCCACTCCAAGCAGATTATTAATATGTTCATGGTGACAAAATAAATATGTACAAAAACCAAACTACAAAAGGCATGCCAACTAAAGAGGTTAACTAACACAAAGAAATAAACAAAGGCCGCCTGAGAGGCTTCTGGCCTCATTGCCACAATCCTGAACTATCCCTTTAACCCGTGATAACCGACAATTGCATTGCATATAATTTATTATTGATTTATTAATCATTTTTACTCATTCAAGGGTTTTTCTTTATTTTTACAATTTTTTTACATTGTACAAAACTATGAAATAACACAAATGGAATCATGTAGTAACCAAAAAAGTGTTAAACAAATCAAAAATATATTTTATATTTGAGATTCTTCAAATAGCCACCCTTTGCCTTGATGACAGCTTTGCACACTCTTGGCATTCTCTCAACCAGCTTCATGAGGAATGCTTTTCCAACAGTCTTGAAGGAGTTCCCAC